GATCTTAATTGTTTCTTCAGGGGCTCTGGTAGCTCAAACCCACCAGCCACTCCTCAGAAGGAAGATGGGGCAATCTACTTCCGTAGTGATACTGCCTCAGAAACCCAAGGAGGGGTCGCTATGAGTCGGGGCCGCCTCGACAGCACGTAACAACACCAACTCTAAGGAAACATTTCTGAAAGTACTGACCATTCAAGGTGTTCTTATGGTGCACATCAAGAAGGTGAAAATATTCCATCAAGGCCCTCACATTTCTCACAGATAATAAGCAGTATATTTTGTCCAGATAGAGGTACCACAGAAAAGATCCTTGCTTCAGTTTCATCTTGGTACTTTTTAAGTCAAAGGCTCTTAACAAGAGCCTATTCATGAAATAGAATAGAGAATTTTGCCTTGGAACTAGAATGTTAGATAGAGTTAGTGAGTAGGTTTGGCAGTGAAGGTCTGTGCTCAAATAATTTCTTTTAGAAGGATCAGCAGAAGGCTGTTCCTGTGAGGTGGAGGTTGAAAATGTCCCAAATAGCCAACTTTTCTAAACTGCTGTGCTACTCCTTCATCTCTAACATCAACCTTCCTCTCTACCATCAACTCCTCCTCCTCCTTCTCTGCCATCTTGTTGTTGTTGTTGTTGTTATGTGCCCTCGAGTCAAACCTGACTCATAGCGACCCCTCCTTGGGTTTCCGAGGCAGTATCACTACAGAAGTAGGATTGCCCAACCTTCCTTCCGAGGAGTGGCTGCCATCTTAGAGTTCCTTATTTTGCCATAACCTCTCGCAGAACTCACACACTGCCAAGGAATTGAAACACATAGTGGTAGAGGTGGGAGGCTGGCAAGTGCCATATTAGTGGGTCAGGGATAGATAGGGTCTGGAAGATTCTCTTCTGTCATGTGGTGTCAGGGGCTGGTGAACCCAAATTGGCAGGTCAGATGACTGGCTGCTGCCTCAAGTCCAAGGGTGAGATGATGACAAACCAAGTGCAGGATCCAAAGCAAGAGAGAATGAATTGTGCCAGAAAATTCACATATGTACCCTCACACATACATACCCTCAAGGAAACTAAGGGCAGTGACTTGAGACACACCCATTAGCAAAGCGGGACTCAAGTTACATTCCACCCTAAGTAGGCATGTTGTTGTTATGTGCTGTTGAGTCGGCCCCAACTCATAGCGACCCCTCCTTGGGTTGCCAAGGCAGTATCACTACGGAAGTAGATTGCCCAACCTTCCTTCCGAGGAGTGGCTGGTGGGTTTGAACCTCCAGCTTTCTGGTTAGCAGTTAAGTGCCTTAGGCACTATGCTACCAGAGCTTCTCTAAATAGGCATAGAGGCTAGGATTTACAATACATCACAAAATAGAGGACTGTGGCTAGACGGGAGATCTGGTAGTGTAGTGCCTAAGGCATTTGATTGCTAACCAGAAGGCTGGCAGTTCAAACCCACCAGCCACTCCTTGGAAGGATGGTTGGGTAGTCGGCTTCCGTAGAGATACCACCTCAGAAACCCAAGGGGGAGGGGTCGCTATGAGTTGGGTCCAACTCAGTGGCAGTGAGTTTGGTTTTGGTTTGGTGGCTAGAAGGGCCATAATAAGCAATTCGTTGCACTGCAGTCTGCCTAAGTTAAAAAAAAAAAAAAGGAAATTGACAATAAATTAAAATTGTTTCCTCCCAACTCTTGGCCTTTCCCTAGATATTTATTGTTTTATGTCTTTTAAAGTTAATTTGATTATCGCTCTGTCACTCAAATATACCCTGTTCTAAACTGAAATCACGGCTGTTTAGAGATGAGCAGAACAATGTACTGCATATGAAGCCCTGTGCTATGAGGCCAAAGTGGTTCTCAGCGGAGTATTTATAGCCTACGAACATTTATTACAGACGGAAAAAAATTGAAAAATATATGAGAAAGTACTAAAAGAACCTAGAAAAATTACAATAAAATAAACCAAAGAAGGATTTTTTTTTTAAAGACTAAGGCACAAATCCATGAACCAAAAAACAAAGCAGTAAACTTCATTAGTACAAGCAAGACATGCTGCTTTCTTATCCTTTTTTACAAAGAAAATTTCAAACATATCCGAAAGTATAGAGTTTCACGTATTCATTGCCTGCTTTCAACACTTACCAACTCAAATCCAATCAATCTTGTTTCAGCTACGAATCTCCCACCACCACTTCACTGGATTCTTTTTTTTTAATTTTTACTCTGATTTGGGTGAAAGTTTACAGAGTAAATTTACTTTCCATACAGCAGCTCACATATGCTTTGGCTCATGACATTGACTGCACTTTCCCACAATGCAACAGCTCTCTTCTCACTTCCTTCCCATAGTTACCTCTTCCCTGTGCCCTTCCCTCCCAAGCACTCTTGCTCCTGAGCTGTCTCTTTGTACATACACAGCCCTTCTATTCTCCCATGATTGATCTCTCCAAGGATTCTATCTACCTAATGTAAATGCTCAGCTCATATGCCTGTCTTTTGTTTGGCTGGAAGCCACAGGAGTGGGTTCAATTCCAGACCTGAAGGGCAGCTAGGGGCCATAGTCTCAGTGGTTCCATCAAGCTCTATCAGATCAGCAAACCTGGCCCCTTTCTTTTTTTTTTTCTTAATGATTTTGAGTTTTGTTCCACATTGTTCTCCCACTCTATGCAGGATCTCCTACATAGACCCCTCTTCCGAGTGGTTGACAATGGATTCTTTTAAAGCAAATACCAGACATAGGAATTCTTCTGTAAATATATATGAACACAGGAGCTCTGGTCATATAGTGCTTAAGGCACTTGACTGCTAACCAGAAGGCTGGCATTTCAAACCCACCAGCTGCTCCGCAGAAGGAAGGTTGGGCAATCTATACACATAACAACAACTACAACATATATGAACACATATTTCAAATAGAGAGTGACTTTTTTAAAAAATGTAACCACAGAGTATATCGCACCTATTTTTTTAAAAAAATTAGTCATTGTCTTAGTTTTCTAATGCTGCTATAACAGAAATACCACATGTGAATGGCTTAATAAAGAGAAATTTATTCTCTTATGGTCTAGGAAGGTAAAAGTCCAAATTGAGAGTGCCAGCTTTAGGGGCTGAGTAAAGGCCCCTTGACCTTGGGCTTCATCTCTGCCTCTTGCTCCAGGCCCACTGGAGTTGGAGGCGTCTTCTAACTCAGGCAGTTGCTGGCTGCTGAGACTGATGAACCTAAGGTCAGTAGGTAAAATGGCACAATCCCAAGATCAACAGGCAATATGGCAGGCCACTGGTTGAAGTCTGGGAACTGGAGATGAAGACTCAGCCAAATCCAGGATCCAAAATATGCCAAAAAGCTCAAGGCGACACTCCAAATGCAACTACTTAGTTGCTCCCAGCAGATTCTACTATGGAAGTGATTAAAATCTCATCATGAGTAATAACTACATGCAGCAGTCAAGCCAGTCAAAACCACAGTCCAGCCAAGTGGACACACAACCTTAACTACCACAGTCATCAAATATCCAATCATTGTTCAAATTTACCCAATTGTTTCTTAAAAATTTTTAAAGATGATTTTGTTAAAATCAGGAACTGAAATGCATTATATTTGTTGTTGTTGTTATGTGCCGTCGAGTCAGCCCTGACTCATAGCGACCCCTCCTTGGGTTTCCGAGGCAGTATCACTACAGAAGTAGGATTGCCCAACCTTCCTTCCGAGGCTCTCTTTAAAATCTGTATGGGAGCTCTGGTGGCATAGTGCCTAAGGCATTTGACTGCTAACCAGAAGGCTGGCAGTTCAAACCCACCAGCCACTCCTTGGAAGGAAGGTTGGGCAATCTACTTTTGTAGTGATACTGCCTTGGAAACCCAAGGAGGGGTGGCTGTGAGTCAGGTCTGACTCGATGGCAGTGTGTTTGTTTTTGTTAACATCTGTTTAAGTCTCCTCTTCCTCTATTTTTCTTTGTTGAAGAATTCAGATTGTTATGTAGAGAACATTATGGTTTTTGCAGATTTTATCCCCAGTGCCTCCACATAAGTTTTAATAGCTGTATTTAAGGAGCCTTGCTGGTATAAAAGGAGCACTGGTGGTGAAGTGGTTAAGTGTTCAGCTGCTAACTGAAATGTCAGCAGCTCAAATCCACCAACCGCTGGATGGGAGAAAGATATGATGCTCTGCTTCCATAAAGATTTACAGCTTTGGAAGCCCTCTAGAACAGTTTCACTCTGTCCAGTAGGATTATTATGAGTCGGAATCAACAGCACACAAGAGTAGTGATATTTTTAAAAAGAAACAAATAATTTAATTTTAAAAATATATTTAAACAATTATTCAAAGTATTATCACTTTAGTTTGTAATCAATATTTTGAAAAATGAGATATCTTGCATTTAAAAAAAATACAAACTCTCTGAACTCTGTTGTATATTTAACACTTATGGTGTAAGAATGCCCCACTCCAGGTAACCTGATAACAAGGATGAGCATACCAGCCAAGTTCCTGCTATATATCCTGCTAGTTATCCAAAGCATTCTCCTACCTCAACCCCTCTCAGGCGTAATCAGTCAGAACTGTGTCCTTAACTGACCTACATACATTAGAATCTAAAAAACACACCCCACAGGCAGCCATGACACTGCACCCCCCACCAGTTAATGACCCTAATGCATAATTAAGGAGTTACCTGAAAGCCCATGAATAATCATAACCTCCCTATTTCACGTCCTCTATCAGCCCTGGAATCCCCAGCTTCAGAGAACTTGATTTGAGACACATTCTCCAAGCTCCTTGCTTGCTGGCCTGCAATAAAGCTTCCTTTCTTAGCATCTCAAAGCCTGGCATTTCCTTATTGACCTAGGAGTCAACCCAAGTGAGAACCCACTCATCAGGTTTCAATGGCACCTCTCAACTTGGATTAGCAACATTTCAAGAGCATATTAGCCACATATGGCTAGTGGGACTATATTGGGAAGCACAGATCTAGAGGAATAGAATTATTTTTATAAGAAAATTGACTTAAGGATTTAAAAACCTGACTGGACAAATAACCATAGAAGGAAATGAGACAGGTGATCAATGACCTAACTTTAAAAAGGTACCAGTATGAGATGGTTTTATAGGGAGTTTCTCCAAGCCATCAAAGAATAGATACTTTCTATGAGTGCCTAAGACACTTGACTGCTAACCAGAAGGCTGGCGGTTCAAACCCAACAGCCACTCCTCGGAAGGAAGATGGGGCAATCTACTTCCGTAGTGATACTGCCTCGGAAACCCAAGGAGGGGTCGCTATGAGTCGGGGCTGACTCGACAGCACATAACAACAACAACAAATGTTATACAAACTGTTTCAGAGCA